CGCTCCGCCAAGTTCTGGCACCTCATACACTGGGGAGGCACCGAAGCCAACGTACAACCCCGCGCAGCATCCCACACAAACGCCTTTGAGCCCGACAAACTCATTCCCGCAAGGATATGGCCAAACTCAGTCTCAGCAGGCATATGCCAATCAGGCGCCTCCAACACCGCAGCAGAGCGTCCCGCCCGCTGCTCCAGGCTATCCTCCGACTCAGCACCAAGCAGCGCAAGCGACATCCTCAGGTCAGCCACCCAGTGCGTCTGGTCAACCATCTCACTTGAGTTGGCAAGAGCGTTTAGAGGCTGCCCAGCACCCCAGTGTGGAGTTTCAGCAGTCGCACGCGAATGTTCACGTAGGTGTACCAGGCACAGTATCTCAGCCGCTGGTTCAATCACCACCAGGTGCCTCGCCATATCCCCAGCTCGCATTGCACCATCAGCAGTCCAATCCGTATCAACCTACACCTGCGCCGCCTGCCCATCAACCTGTTCCACAAGGAGCGGGCTCTGCCGCCTCACCTGGGTACGGCCAGAACCCTCCTCAAGCGCTTTCGCCGCATCAACAGCACCAGAGTGCTCCTCCTCAGCTTCAACAACAGACATCATGGCCACAACAGGGTGGCGTGAGTAATTCATTCAACCCGGCACTGTCATCGCCCCCACCTCCGCCACAGACAGCTCCCCCGTCTGGTCCTCTCGTTGGTTCTCCCAGCCATGGCTCTCCTGCTCTACAGCAACAGCCACAGTATCACCAGCAAGCTGGTGCGACAAATCCTCAAGATCCAACAGCGACCCAGCAAGCTGGTCAAGCATCGCCGTATCAGGCTGCCCCAGCTAGTGCTACGCACAACCCGCACCAGGTCCTCCCGCCCCAGCAGCTCTATCAGAGTCCCCCTCCCCAAGGGTACCCGCAACAGCAGGCACCTGCTCCTTACAACCCAATGGCCGCTTCAGGGATGTCGCCGACCGCGCATACGGTACCTGTCCCGCTAGCTCAGAGTGTTCCCATGAGCCACCCACAAAGTCCTCCTGCAGCACAGTCACCGCACCAGCAACACCAAACTCCACCAGCGCAGCAGCTTGTCAGCCCGTCGGCAGCAACTCAGGCGCCTTTTCAGGGAGTTTCTGGACCCCAGGGGCAGTATTATACACCAAACCAGGCACAAGTCCCTCAGACTGGAGGTGCGCCCGGTGGTGTCCAGCCGATTGCTCCCCCAGGCCAGGCTCACAGCTACCCGCCTCCACCACCTCTGCAGCAGCCGCAGCACGATGTACACTCTGTCGCTGCCCTAGTACCAAGTCATTCCCAACCGTACAGTCCACCGGCCAACCAGCAGACTCCTCCGGCACAATACGTGCAGCATCCTGAAGTCGCAACTACCAGCCCTCCGACCTCTCAGCATTTTACGTCACCTCCTAATTTGCCGCCTACAGCTAGCGCGATCAATCATGGACAAGTGCCTGCAAATCCCCCACCAACGGTACCAGGTCAGCAGTTCCAGCCATACCAGCCTGCTCCCGAACTGCCAAACTCTCAGCTTCCACCGGCAAATGCGAATAATGTACCCAGCCAACCCGCTGCTTATGGCTATCAACAAGATCCTGTCGCTTCTCTGTCTGCTCAAATGAACAATCTGAACGTTCTGAACAGTGGTCACCCCCCAACAGTACCCAGTACTGGCTCGACCGCACGACAGGATGGGCCTCGGGGACCGCCTCCCTGCCAAGCTACTGGTATGTCCAGCGACACTCTTCCATACTGTCCCGAAGATAGAACCGTGAGCTATTCGCTTGATTGGTATCGTTTCATTGCTGTGCCACAGTATCTCATTTGTACGAGGTGCTATGCCGACTATGTTCAGAGCACCCACCTCGCGGGCCACTTCGAGAGGTACCATTCGCCCGAGGGCACAGAATCCAAGTGCGGCTTCTGGTCTCCTCGCGCACGAGAGGTGCTCTGGCCACAGGCTCTTCAGACTAACGACGTCAGACCTCTACAGGCATGGATGGAGAAGAGCCTGACTCTCAAACCATGCAAGGGTAGGGTCTGGACAACTGCTGCTGACGAGGTCAAGTGGTGGGGTATGGTTAACAACGAGATCGATGGGTTCATATCGTGCGATGCCTGCTACGAGGACCACGTCGTCGGCACCGCTTTCGAGTCTCGCTTCCAGCTTTACCGTCAGCAAGGTCAAGACGAAAAATGGATGTGTGATTTGTGCATATCTTACATCGCCAAAACAGCAGTTAAGATGGCAAAGCAGAATCACTGGAACGGCTTTATCGAAGCCGCAAAGGTGCGCGTTCATCTTCCACTGTGTGAAGGCAGAGATGAAGAGTCCAACAATGGACATTGGATGTTACCGCGCCGCAAGATCAAGGACATGACCATCTGTGAGGCATGTTATCTGGACAAACTTGCGTTAACGCCATTCGGCAACGAGTTTGAACGTCACATCCGTGCAGAAGGCTTTGACGCCTTCGTTGAGTCGATTGGCCAGAGATGGAAGTGCAAGCTCACTGATACAGCTGTTAACATGAGTATTGCGCTCGAAGCAGCCATCTATCGCCGAGACTTCAACGTCTTCTGGAATGCCGCCAATGCCATTTCTGGTCTCGTCCCATGCACTATTCACGGCATCGTACGTGGCAATTGGTGGACAGTCGCTGGAGGGTGTGCCGACTTCGATGTCTGCGAGGCTTGCTATAAGGGAATCGTCGAGACGTCTGGCCTCGAGAAATTCTTCGAGCCTGTCCAGCGCGATCAGACTGTCGACATCGTTTGCAACTTTTGTCCAGGTACTCCCCGATGGGGCATGTTCATCACCAAGTTCGCCGAAGCTCTTGACAAAGGTGTCTTCAGTCACTACTCTGACTACGTCAAGAAATGGGCTGGAGTGCCGACCTGTCCAGGTATCAAGAATAGAGGCAAGAGTAAATGGTGGGGACACCCAGAGGCTCTGGCCTGTCAAGACTGCTGGTTGAACTTTGTGGCCGATACTCCCCTAGGAGATTCCGTTCCTGTCAAGGACGTATACGACGAGCGTACCTTAATCTGCCAGCTATGGTCTCCAAGAATGCGCAACATGTGGCTTGCAGCTTGTGCCGCCGGACCTCCTGGATCGCCGGAGTCACAAAAAGCCCTGGATGAGTTCAAAGCCTTTGGAGCAAGACGTGTTCAGGTGTACAACGCGACCGTACCTCACATTGAGATGATACAGCAGATGCAGATGATGAAGCAAATGCAGGCTATGCAACAGGGACAACTAAGCTTGATGTATCAGGGCATGAATGGCATGGCATCTATTAGTGGCAATACGGATGGGTACTTGCATGGGAATAGTTCCGTTGGATACTATGAGACTGAACATGGGGTCACGGCGGCGAACATGATGAATAACATGCATGCTGGGATGGCGGACGCGAATAAGATGAGTGATTGGCAAATGTTATTGCAGCTGCAGGCCACTTGGATGGAGGTTGAGTAATCTAATTTTTGAAAGTGGATAGCTTTATCTCGAGATAGGTTTACATGATCATGAAATCCATTCCGTTGTCCTATTCTGCTCTCATGAGAATCGCGTGTTCGTGTATCTCAAGTCCATGCCATTGCTAGCGAGACTCTACCCCGCAGCACTTGATGTAGCTCCTAATTTCCTCTACTTCTTTTCTTTCTTTTCACCCCTCTATACTCTGAACGCCGAAAAGATGGTCTTCACTCATGCTCTCACAGGCAAACCCACCTGCAGATACCCAAGTCCTCCCTCCATCGTATCCGCCGGTGCGATCAGCTTCTTCAGAAGAGCAATCGCCTCATTCCCGCCACGGCCATCGGACGTCCTCTCATCCTCCCAGTACTGATACAGCTGCCACCACCAGCAGTGCGTGACCCCATCAAGGCCCTTATACCCAGCTACTCCATCCAGTCCAACACGCTTTGCCCAAGGCTTGTCGACGATGTAGTGCAGGCAGATGACTTCCTCGTCACGCCAAATGTCGGGGTGCCAATACCGCATCGTCTTGATAGCGTTATACTGCCACCCAAGTGCATACCACTTATTCTCAAAGAAGAATGCCAGAAAGTCCTGATCGGGAAACATGAACGTTGAAAGTAGCGGCGTCGTGTTGAACACATGCCACATCCGATCCCAAAGGCCCTTCGAAGGATGAAAGATGAACATGCCACCATTGAGAAGCTTGTGCGGTGAAGGTGACGTCTCAGTAGGTTGTAGAGGCTCCGTAAGCGCTGTGGGATGTTCAAGCGGCGTGTAAGCACAATTCTCCGCCCTCCAATCCTCAGGAGCCCAAGAATCTGAATCAAGGTTGCAAACACAAACATGATTCGCCGCAATCCAATCATCGGGCAAATGCGTCTCAACTTTGAATACAACATCCATGTTATCCAGCACCGCCATATCAGCGTCAAGGTAACACACAGCGTCATACTCAAACAGCTCAAAAACACGAAGTTTCGTCCACGTATCCGCAAATCGCTCAGCGATAAGCGTCATCTTCACACCCTCCGGCGGGAGAAGATGCTCGCACTCGCGAAGGATCATGTTGCATTTTGGCGCCTCGAGCTCAAGAATGCGCTTCGCATCTTTGGGGAGGTTGGGCGTGTAGAGCACTACGAGAGGGTAGATTGAGACGTTGCGCTTGAGGGTATAGGCGAGGATGATGACGCCGGGGAGGTAGGAGTCGCGGGTGATGAGGGTTGCATAGGCATTGTGCCTGGTTACGTTGTCTGCCATTTTTGTCGTGTTGCAGAAAATTCTAGTATCAGGGGGGAAGAAGAGGGTGAGTGTCGTTGGCTGGATGAATGGAGCGGGAGAAAGAGGGGTTGGGGGAGATTCGTGCACGTCATGACCTAAATATGTGAAGTCATTATTTAGTAGTATTTATCCCTTACATTATTGACGCCTTTTTATGGTTTGTGTTCAAAAGTGTATGAGTTATGCGAAAAAGCAAATACGGACTGAATGCTGTATTACAACGAGAGTATCGGTGAGGCTTTGTAGGCGCCACGACGTCGGTCCCGAAGATGAGATATTGAGATTATCGTGATTATCGAGATTGTACCTGAAGTGAATCTAAATCAATGACGCGTATAAGCATTGATCTTTGGGAGGCTAGGAACTCGTTTATCTAAGATCTACAATCCAAGAGATGAGCCAGATCTCGGGATCTAAAGCTCAAGTTAAGATTCAGTGCGACATCCATCTCACCTCCCCATCCTTGTACTGCAACCCCAGCACCTGAAACTGCAATCCGACTTTATCACAAAGCTACATCACACCGCATCAATAATTATCCACCGCTTGCACAATTGCACCCGCAGTGCCCTCATCCAGTTCATCCAGCGCCTTCATATCCCTGTCATCCAGATCAAACCCGAAAACATCGGCATTAGCTTGGATGCGCTCGGGTGTGTCGCTTTTTGGAAGGGGAACCCAATTCTTTTGAAGACAGTATCGGATTAAAACTTGGTTAGGCGTGACGTTGTGCTTTGAGGCGATGCTTTTGAGGGTTTTGTTATCGGCTTTTTGGTTGCGAACGAGAGGAGCGTAGGCTTCTACTACGATGTTGTTCTTTTCGCAGTATTCCACGGCGTCTCTCTGCTGTGCCCAAGGATGCAACTGATGGACCTGTTAATATCCTATGATGCGCGTTGTTTGGTAACTTACCTCAATCTGATTGACGTGGGGAGGCCAAACTTTGGCGAATTGCTTCAGCTCTTCGATATGCTTGATACCAAAGTTGCTCACGCCAATACTCTTTGCCTTTCCCTCCTCATACAACCTCTCCAGGGCCTGCCACATCTCCTTTCTCTTTGCAGCACCGCTATTGGGGCTATGAATGAGGAAAAGGTTGACATAGCCACTGTCAGGATCAAGCTTCTCAATGCTCTCAATGCATTTCGCGTAGCTTGCGTCCACAGAGCCAGCTGCCTCAAGGATCTTGGTAGTCAAGAAAACGTGTTTCCGATCGACGTTCGACTCTTGAACTGCTTGGCCAACCTCTGTTTCATTGGCGTAGTACTGCGCCGTGTCGATGTGTCGATATCCAGCTTCAAGTGCAGTAAGGCATGACTTGGTGCAAACTTCAGGTGGCGATAAATATACGCCAAACCCAAGCTGAGGAATTTGAACCGAATTCGCCAGAGGCAAGGTATCAGATTGTGAGCGCTCCATCGTCAATCAGTGAACACTAATAATCTCACAAATAAGATAGAGTTTGGTGTTTTTGGACAAGAGGGGTAGATTGTGTTTTACTGCTGTGTAACTTGTGCGGAGCGCGTAGAGATCCAGTCATAACTCGTCAGTTGAGTCGATGACGTTGTCGATCTCCTCTTTTTCGCCGTCTTTTGAAACTGAGTCAATGATGACATGTGTGAAATGTGCTAAGCAGAGTAATAGCCAATTAACGCATTATAAGAAAAATGTTTAATAGAATTCAATTGTGTATCTCAGTTTTATTATCAACGATTCTTGGCTCACTTCTTCTGGATATTGAGCGCAGCAGTGAAGCTGTCAATCTCAACCGGGGATTCGCGTAGACACCGGTAGACCGTCAGGGTCGTTTCTGATCACAATGGTGGACATACTCTCCAATTCCCAGTCGATCGTAACTGCAGAGGTTTGGTCAAGGCGATGCTCCGCAGTGACGGTACAGAGTTAACCAGGTCAGGCATGTCTTCTGACCCCCTGGCAAGATGCTGAAAAATGCTAGAGTTCGTCGCGGTATCGTTGTGCTTGACGAGCCCCTGAAACGTGTTGAGATGGCGTTGACATATTATCGAAGAGCGCTGGGGCGTCTTTTAGACGAATTGTGTTACTGGTCCCATGTCTCAGGGCTCGACAAAGGGGGGATCAGGAGAACGTCTCCTTCACACATTTAACGCTCTATATCGAGGCCACGCCCTTAGTTTAACAATCACTGCAAGTGGAGGGTATGATGTTCGCGTGGGGACGCAGGTATCGGTTAGTTGTTTCAGTCTATACTGGGATGGTCGTCGGCAGTCGCTGATTTGTGTCACAGTACGCTTCGCAGTCTGTCGTAAGCTGCTGTGAAAATATCCTACACAACAACTGGTCTTGTGGATCGATGTTGACATGGATTGAAGCCGATAAACTGGACCATATTGCTGAAGTTGTGCATTGATTCTCTACCATGAAAGTGGAGCACTCCGTCCTCATAGAGGTAGGGTGCAACCGCGATGATACAGCATTCCATCATGCGACCACACTCGTCTCGACATTCACTCCAATTCTATCGGGTCTCTGCAGCCCCTGGCTCTCCCAGCTCTCCATCGCCTGCTCAAATAGCCCCGCCTGTTCTTCCTTAGCCGGCATAGGATTACCCTTTCCCCTTCTCAATCGACTCTCCATCGTCTCAGTAAGCCTAACCTCCACATCTATATCTTTCATTAGGTCTTGCTCGAATACGTAGGATCGAGTCTCGCAGTTCTTCCATCCCGTCCCAGGGTTCAGCCATGAGTCCTCCCAGTCATCGGTGAAGTAGTGCAGGAAACCACCGTGTGTCACGAGAGCAACTTGAGGGTCCGTATCGCCTTGCTCGATCAGTTGTCGGATCTTCTGTCGCATGAAGATGCGGGCGTCGCGGGCGCGGGCTGCTATGGCGTCACTTTCTGGGCTGTAGCGAGTCCCTAAGGCCTTCACGTTCCAGCCGTCCTTGACTAGAGAGAGATCGACAGGCCAGTTGCTCTCGGTTACCACTTTGCGAAGGGCTGATGGATCAGTTCCAACATCGCACGGGTCGTCCGAGGTTTCTTGAGCATCCGGGATGGCGATGATTTCAGGGTGACACTTGCTGCTGCCCTCAAGGGCTGACTGAAACACCATATAGGCAGATTGGAGTGTTCGGCAAAGGGGAGAAGCAAGGACAAGAGATATCTTTGACTGATCTGAGAACGCCGTCTCTCGCAATGCCAGGTTCTGCTCTTCACCCAAGGGGGTCAGGCGAGGATCTGGAAGAGTGTAGCATCCGGTACCAACATTGTGGAAGCCCTGTCCATGGCGGATACAATGTATCACTGGTGACATTATGAGTGAGAGGTGAAGAAGAAGAAGAAAAGACTTGTTTCAAAGAGTCAATCTGCTGATAAGATCGCGATTCACAAGACATAGGATAGGTGCCGGCCTGGGATTGCGAGAAATACATCTTGTACTAGACTGCTGAGTAATCCTGGATTTCTAATCAAATATTTTGATACTGGCAATTGTTGTTCCCAACACAAGTAGGTAATTAGCCTTTGCCTTATCTCGGATGAATCTCGAAGCAATCAAAATGCTAGCAGATCGGCCTCGGCTAACCTGATATGGGCAGCCAAGACTCCTGTCGTGCATTAGCGTGGTATCCACTGCCGCCTTGCCGGTAAACTTCACATATCTCAGGGATTGAGATCGGAATAAAGTGGTTTTCAACTTTATTAGTTTGCAATAATGATGGCTGATAGGCCGCTAGGAATATTCAAATGACTTTGGTATGCTGAGTTGTTAGCAGGGAACGTGACGATAAGTGGCAAGAATGATAGATACAACGCCACCTCTTGAGACGACTGCGCGGAACAAGTACAGGCACGCATGTGTCAGTATCTGGCTAACACTTCGAATCCTTGGGAGCTGTAAGCGGTGGACTCAGGCTATTATCAAATCTCCGTGGTCCGCAAAATTACATCTTCATACGTTATGATTACAAATGTGTGATAATTATGCCAAAAGGAAATCGTTTAAGATCTGTTGCCCTCATCTTATTCATAGCCCTGCCACTGCTCATACACATCTCTGCATATCCAGGGGCCGATATTTGACAGACAATGACACAATCATCGACACCTCCATCGCCGCTTCATCGGGCTCCCAGCAATCCCTCCGCAATGCCGACTATCCCGTCGAGAGGGTGCAGCCCCCGGGCTCTAACTCAAGGTGTTGATCCTCCACCAAACAACAACCCTGCGCCGGATCTCCATGACACTGCCGCATCGTCGTCCGTAGTTGACGAGTCCCTCCAAGCACGTATAGAACGTCTCGGCCGCGAACGCCCTCCGATCTTTACAACCCGCTGGAGCGAGATAATCTTCGTCTTCAGCATCTCCATGTCTCAATTCCTGACAGAATACTTCGTCTCGGGATTCACTGTCATCCTCCCAACACTCATCAGAGAGCTCGATATCCCACAAGCAGCCAGTGTATGGCCAGCGACCGCTTTCTCACTCGTCATCGCCAGCACCTTGCTCGTCTTTGGCCGTCTGGGCGACATGTGGGGAGGATATCCCATCTTCATGTGGGGTCTTGCCTGGCTTCTTGTCTGGAGTATAATAGCCGGGTTCAGCATCAATCCGCTGATGCTCGACTTGTGCCGAGCTCTGCAAGGGCTAGGAGCTGCCGCTTTCTTGCCTACTGGAGTCATGCTTATGGGTTCCTTGTATCGTCCTGGGCCACGAAAGAACCTCGTCTTTGCAGTATATGGCACTTCAGCGGTATTTGGCTTTTTCGGTGGCATTCTCATGGCAGGCATCGTAGGTCAATTCACCCGCTGGGGTTTTTATTTCTGGATCGGCGCTATCCTGACGGCAATTACGCTGTTAACTTCAGTCTTGTCCATTCCGCGTCCTCATTCAAAGGACCAGCCCCCAAGCAAAGTCGGAATGGACTACCCTGGCGCCATCACAATCGTCTCTGGCCTCACCCTAGTCGTGTTTTCCATCTTGCAATCAGCACATGCCCCTGCGGGTTGGAAAACGCCATATATTCCAGTCTGTTTCGCACTTGGTGTCTTGTCACTCCTTGCCGCAGTCAACATCGAAACGCGCGTCGCTGTTCATCCTCTCCTGCCGGCTTCGATCTTCACTACTCCTTGCATGAGCCCTCTCCTTTTGGCCCTCTTTCTGCTCTATGGCACCTGGGGCATCTTTTCTGTATATGGCACGCTCTACTTCCAGAACATCATGTCTGCCAGTCCGTTGCAGGTGGTAGCATGGTATGTGCCTCTCGGTGTTGCAGGCCTCATTTTCAGCATCATAGAGGGCTTTATCTTGCACCTGGTTCCAGGACGTGTGCTTTTGATCATCTCCGGCCTGGGAGCAGTAGGGTCACAGCTTCTCATAGCTCTGATTCCACCCGGGGGAAGTTATTGGGCATGGGTCTTTCCTGCGGTCATCTTCAGCACCATAGGAATTGATCTATCCACGATCTTGATGACCGTTTTCGTGACGACGACTTTTCCTACAGCGCAACAGGGACTGGCTGGCAGTGTCATTAATTCTGTGCTGCAGCTAGGTGTAGCCTTTGTCCTTGCTTTGACAGACATCATCCAATCAGCAACGGTAGATGAGGCAGGATTGGCGAGGAGCTATAAGAACACGTTTTGGTTTGGAGTGGGTGCTGCAACCGTGAGCTTGTTGATTCTGGCAATCTGGGGTAAGGTACCTAAGGCCAGTAGTGATTTGACCGCGGATGAGAGGGCTGAGCTCATGGAAGAGGCAATTGCTGAGCAGCGAAGAAACCAAGACGGCGGGGGCGATACCGTGAGAGATACATGACGCCACATGTCGAGCTCGGCTCACGAGTCGTTAAACAGTGGCCCGTATAGTCTAACAAGGCCTTTAGCCAGCATAGCAGATCATCTGGGATGGCCTTCCAATCATGCAATCAACCAGTCAGTGCCTAAATTCCTTAGCGTCTCGATCCAATTCCAATTCTCTTCCCGTTCGTAGAATTCGTCATCGCTGCTCGTTAAGAGAACCTCATTCTTCCTCCCACCCCATATTGTCCGCAATGCTCCGAGAGCGTCTCTGGTAAACCCCCAAGGCTCGATTTTCCAGAGCTCTTGGAATCTTGTCTCTACCCAGGCACGATTCGCGAGGTCACGAGTTTCCAGACCAGCGATGAAGGCGGGCCACGCTGTTGCTGTGAATAATGCATCTCCAGGGTGCAAATGTGAAAGGTGGGTGATGATTTCGGCTGCTAGAACCTGTAGATCATCTGGCAATACCGTACTGGGCCATAGAGCAAGAATAATGCGTGAGAGATAGACACATACAGCTGTCCGGTGTGCACATGCAATCATAGTCCGATGGAGGAGATCGTCAGCGGGCGAGCGTGGCTGTAAATTGGTGGCCCAGGCAGCTGGGTCGAATGACTTGGCAGCGTGTAAGAGCTGAAGCGCATCGTGCTGTCCTGAATTGATCGAGGCATCAGGAAACATGTAAACGTCGTTAATGTTCAATATTTGAGCCCCTGCCTGTATCAAAGGAAGGAGAGCTGCCGGAAATGATGAGCAATGGTTCCCTTCTGCATCTTGAAGCAGCGACATGGTAGTCATCGATAGCTCACCGCCGCGCGGTAGATAAGAATTCGCGAATGATGAGCCAAGAAGATCATACCTAGTTATTTTAAACCCAAGAGCCATCAATAACTGGGCAGGATGACTTACACCAAGCAATTAGACACCAACCAGCTGCGAAGAGGGCTGAAAACAGTGCCCGTCCCGGAGCCAGATGCTATCATTTTCTCAATGATCATTCTCGCACCGTTGATGTGAGATATCCAGCTGCCTCGCCCAGAGTCAATGAGCTCGAATCCAATGAGTAGAAGTACCGCCGCCAGAATCGCATCAACATTCGCTGAAGCCATGCTTCCGACAGCGGAGTTCAGCAGACAAAGTGCCTGCTGCTTGGCCCTGAGTGCATCATGGAAAGCCTCCGGGTGTGATGTCGTATGGCCAATCGATAGAGAGTCCACAAAACTTTTGCTGCTCTGAGTCGAGGCCATTGTCGTGAAGATGCTTAAAGAACTTGATGGCCGTTGACAAGCGTTTGACATATGCAAAGCCGAGCTAGCGATGATGGCCTGCAATAGCATGGGCTGCTGGTACGCCATCGGAATCAGCTCCCGAAATGGATTATGCTTGGGGATGTCATAGAGAACGAGGTCCTTGCAAACGTCACTTGCGACTTTTGCCAAAGAATATTAGTATGAAGAGCAGCCAAGCGGGCGGAGGCAACCTACAATAATCCAGATATCTCCTCGATCGACAGTCTATATCTTGAACAAGCGGGTCTGTAAGCGAACGAGGAGAATTCGACTCAGAACTTGTGAATGAGGGCTGGCTTGTAGACAAGATACGAGGCCGTGGCGCTTGCAGTGTGGCGGTCGTATCTCCGTTCTGGACCTTGCCAATATTGTCGGATGTAACACCAACCATTTTCCCACGACTTGCCATACCTTTCTCCCATCGCAACAGAACGCCATAGCCCAGACAACTTTGACCCCTACTGGTGCATTTCAGGCACTGCGGAATGGATCGGTCACATTTCAAACGGCCGCGCCTACAGTTGTGGCATGACCCTGGCCTTGCACCCATAGCTTGGATGAGTATGAAAGGGGTGACGCACAGAATAGTGCTACGTAGTACCGCGAAACCCTGCCGTACTGTAGAAAGGGGGTCGTTATGCGCTGCCCTGTGACGAAATGAGGCGCCAGTGAACGGTCAATAGATAAGATAGGCATAGATAAGATAGGTAAGTACCTATGACGCGTTGACTCATGTGGGGCCGACGACCAGGGCAATCCAACTTGACAAGTTCATATATTAAGAATCAAGTCAGTTGCCATAAGTCGAACGGATTAAAGACGTGGTAGATTATACGTCGCCAGAAACTCATTTTATCAAAATCAAACGTGTTCTTAATCTCAGTATTGTGAAATGGCAGATGCGAATTATTTTACTTGTACGCTTGGTGAAGCTACGAGACTGAAGCGAAAAGACGAGAAGGCCAAAACGTGGACGACAGTGGTGGAATTGATTGACGACCAGGCTGAGATGAATCCAGATGCACCGGCTTTGGGATTCGCGACATTTACGCATTTGAAATCTACACAAGGTAAGCAGCAGTCTATATGACAATACCCTGGCTGACATGGGTAGTATTCCGCCATCTCCTCACGTTTCGACACCTCTCAGACACATCAAAGCATGCCGCCCAGATACTTTCGACTCATTTACCGAAGGATCCCAGGTCCTTGAAAATCGGCCTTCTATCGTCTGGTAGCACCGAGTTTGTCTTGACATGGCTTGGTTTGATGCGCCTGGGTTATACTGTTTTGCTTCTTGCGTAAGTCCACTGACCTGAAGGGATGCGCAAACCTGACCATATTGCAGACCTCAATTGGCACCACCAGCGGTTCAGCATCTTTGTGAGACTCTAGACATCAAACATGTTTTCGTCGACAACATCTACGAGTATAGAGCTCGTGGACTCTCAAACGACATCGAGATCATTAGAATCCCTTCATATCGAGATGACTCGCCAACGGACAGCTTGGATCAGACCCGCGGCGTCTCTGAAACAGCGTACATATGCCACACTTCAGGGACATCATCCGGACTGCCCAAGCCAATCCCTCAAACGCAGTTCGGTGTAATGGGGGCGCTGTATAGCTTTCCTGGGAAGAATAAGCCCGCGACCTTCTCCACGACTCCCCTCTATCACGGAGGATTTCCAGATTGTCTGAGAGCCTGGACAAGTGGTGCTTCGATATGGTTCTTCCCCGAAGGCCAGGCTCCCATCACAGGCGCCAATATTATAAGAGCCATAGACTTTGCACGGGCGCATAGCCCAATACCCGTCAAGTACTTTTCATCAGTTCCGTATGTGCTTCAAATGCTCTCCGAAGAGTACGGGGGCGTTGAAGTTCTTCAGACAATGGACCTTGTTGGTGTCGGCGGCGCTGCTCTCCCACCGGCGATAGGCGATAAACTCGTGGATGAAGGCGTGAATCTCCTCTCCCGTATGGGAAGCGCAGAATGCGGGTTTCTGATGTCTTCACATCGGGATTACGCCAAAGACAAAGACTGGCAATTTCTCCGAGCCATTGATGATCCAAAGCTTATCGAATTCGAGCCCTGCGAGAATGACCTCTCAGAACTTGTGGTGAAGCCTGGTTGGCCTTTCTTGATCAAGACAAATCGTGAAGATGGATCATACGCCACTTCTGACCTCTTTGAACCGCATCCATCGATCCCAAACGCGTGGCGGTATCACAGCAGAGCTGATGCGCAAATCGCTCTTGCCAACGGAAAGAAGTTCGATCCTTCGCCTATTGAGGGTAGCATACTTGCTTCTACCAAATTACTGCAGGATGTTCTCATCTTTGGCAGTGGAAGAGATTACGCTGGAGTGCTGTTGTTCCCTTCCTCGAGCGACATCAGTGCAGATGAAGTGATCGATTCAGTATGGCCGCATATCGACATACTGAACTCCGACAGCCAAACCCATACCCGAATCAACAGGACAATGTTGGTAGTTGTCCCTGTCAAAGAGGGGCAGAAGCCCTTGGAAAAGAGCAGTAAGGGAACTATTCTTCGGCGGCAAGCTGAAGAGCGATACTCAGATGAGATAGAGGGTGCTTACGGCAACACATCATCTTCCACGAAGATTCCTGAGGGTGGGCTTCAAAAAGCCGTTCAAGATTGTTTCGAGCAAGTCCTCGGCCGGCAAGTTGAACCAGATCAAGATCTGTATCGCCAGGGCGTCGACTCGATCTCTTGCATACAAATCCGAAAGCTGCTCGAACAGACTTGTCTATCATCTGAGGATGGCCGGCTTCCTCTGAACGTTATCTACGATCAGGGCACCGTCAATTCACTCATTGAGTATCTGGAAAGAGCGAATTCAGGCGACAACGAGCTGAACGTCGACCCCAATGAGTCAGATCTCAACCTCATGCAAGCTCTCGCTGAGAAGTACAGCAATTTTGATCCAGCCTCGCATGATACTAGCAGTATGGTAGGGTCAGGTGTATCTTCTTCAACCAGTGGTGTCAAAACTCAAGCACGGCAAAATCGCAAAGCCTTGGAAGAAAAGAAAAGCTTGGCGCAGATGGCCATGAAAATCGTTCAAGATCCCAATCATCGCCCCACGCGTGTGGTACTAACCGGTGCGACTGGGTTCCTTGGGGCGCATACCCTTCATCTTCTTCGAGAAGATTCAAAGGTTGAGAGGATTTACTGTTTTCTTCGAGCTGACGGTCCATTTGCTGCTCAGAAACGAGTCTCTGACACTCTCTTCCAACGAGTTCTGCCACCTCTAGAACCACACCAGGATAAAGTCGTCTGTCTTCCGTGCGATTTGACACAAAAGGATCTTGGACTCTCAGAAGAGCAGCTTCGGGAAATTTCGATGAGTACTACGAAGGTCATTCACTCAGCTTGGGCGGTCAACTTTAGTCTTCGACTAAACTCCTTCGAGGATGAGATTTCGAGTACGAAAAACTTGATCAACCTCGCTGAAGAGGCTGGTGCACAGTTCATCTTCGTCAGCTCCATCGCAGCAGTTAGCGACTCTACCGCTCAACCAGTTCCCGAGATGCTCTCCCATGATCCTAAGGAGGCTTCACCACTAGGCTACTCACGCTCCAAGTGGGTAGCCGAACAGGTTTGTGATGCAGCGAACAAGAAACAAGACTCTCCCCTAGCGTCGATTGTTCGAGTTGGTCAACTTTGCAGCAATGAATCTGGAGTCTGGAATACCACTGAGGCATATCCGTTATTGCTTTCAACATCCAAGATCACAGGATGTCTACCCGATCTCCCAAATGAAGTGCTCAATTGGCTTCCTGTCGAGCAAGCTGCTCAAGCTGTGATCGAAATTGCATTCACGCACTCCAAAGGTTTGAATACACCTGTCTACCATGTATTGAACCCGCATATCACACCGTCATGGAAAGACATGCTGGACTGGCTGGCTGCTAGTAACGAGGGTCCCGAGTTTGAGATCGTCTCATCATCTGAGTGGCTTGAGCGCTTGGAGAAGGCTTTGGGCGACGAGAATGATCATCCGTCACAGGCTCTTCTAGGTCTTTGGAAGCGGTCATATTCCAGGGGCGATATGAATGAAAATGCAGTGGACGATCAGGAGAGTTCTGTATTCGAGGTCGCTCAAACACAGAAGGTCTCTGTTTCAATACGGGACGTCGAGCCACTGAGTCGCGAGCGAGTAATCAAGACTTGGAAATGGGTGAACGAGAATATTAAGGGCTGAGTGCTCCTTGGTAATTTAGAATGCTAGATAGTAGAATAGAATAGCGGCAATGAATAGGTCATATTCCATATCTGAAGATTTTGATGTAGGCAGACAGGGCATCCTGGCCATCCCTCAAGCAGCAAGAAAACTCTCGACGTTAAACCGAGGTGCCAGAAATACCTGATCTAAGATCTACTAAAGCTACTCCAAATTATCTTAACTTTACCTAAGTCTTTTTGTCACTTAGGAGAGACGTCTTGACCATTGTCCTCAAAGTGGGGGCGCCCGGCGAGTTATCAGACTTGTGATTCGCCACTTACCTTGCTCCCCCCATCTCGCCAGTCACGATGGTGGAAAGTCTCCGACGATGATATTGCCGTCCACGATGCGCTCGAACACTTCTTCCACTTCGAACTGTCAAGTAATTTCCTTTAAAATCTCACCGATCTCAATCTCTCCGCAATGACACTAACTTCCGTCACCAAGTCGAATATTCCGAGCCCCGCTCGGCGGTCAGCCTGCGATTGTTGTCGTACGTCATAGCTCCCATGCTGTACTGGTATCGAAGCCTAACAGGTCTAGGGCAAAGAAAGTCAAGATGTGACGGTGGAAAGCCTTCATGTCGAAGATGCTCTGGTTTAGGCCTTGACTGTCACTACTCAGTCAAGAAGCAAATGGGCAGACCTGCAAAACGTCGACAAGCTTTGGCGGCAGCGCTCCCTAGTCCAGCTGTTCAAGATGACACGCCCTTCCTATCCCTCTTATCACCTCAATCAATGATTGAAACGCTCAATCAGGTTGACGTGAATGTCTGTGTAGATCCAAGTCTCATGCCTGACCTGAACTCTGAGATACTTAGCGGACTTCAACTTGAGCTGGGAAAAGGCACCGACTGCTCATGTCCAACATCAGACGTCTTATCAGGCTCCGCTGCCGCTCCAGCCCTCGACTCCCCAGCTTCAAATTCTGTCTCGGTAGCTACGTTGTTGCCCATATCGCAAACATCGTCACGGTCATGTTCTTGTCTGGCAACTTTCTATCTCACAGTAGATGATCTCTGCAAAAACGAAAGACTCTCCTTTCCGTCAGGTCTTCCTTTTCTTCGCAAAACGATCTCAACAGCCAGTCAAATCGCTCATTGTCAGATCTGTCCAACTAGCCACCTCTCTGCCATGCAGAATATCCAACTTCTGGGAACTCTCCTCATGTCAGTGGGCCAGCAGTACGGCGTCATTCTGGAGTCCATAGACAAAGAGGCCAAGGTATCCATGGAGAAAAATGAAATGAAACGTCTGCAGTTCAGCGAAGTCGGTGTTGAGTATTCTGCAGAGGCTCCAAGTTATAACCTGGAATTAGACCCTGCAGCATGGGCGGATTTGGCTAAAAAGGCTGTTAAGGCTGAGGTTTACGGGAACGGGAGAGAAGAAGAGTGTTTGTGGAGTGTTTTGAACTATCTCGAAAAACGGCAGTCCCAGTGGCATGCCGTGCCGCCCCATCGAGATTGTCCTCATCAGTACCAACAGTCTGATGAGGAGCCATTTTGCATAAAGATACTTCACAAGGCTAAAGAGTCAATAGAGGCTCTTAAGTGGAAGTGTCGTGAGATCTATGGTCCGGGAAGACATGATGTTGGTACGATTTCCCTTCTGTGAAGCGAATCGCCTACCTAGATGCATTGGTCTTACTACGGCCATTTCACCTTAGTTAATAAAAGGTCCCTGGAAAACCTCATTGTTGATCTCTCTTCGATGCAGTTCGCTGACCGTTACAGGAGAACAGTGAATACTAAGAGTAAAGGACTAGCAGGCATTACAAGGATGCATACTTCTACCTGAATCAGATTTTCATTATCAAAGGTTAATATATTATCCACAAAGTGCATAGAAAGTCCATAGTCTGGTTGGAAGCATTTGATCTGGATCCCTCCAGCTCATTTTCCGTAACCTGTAAACATGATGGTTGATGAGTCTCACATCATCATACGGGGCGCTAAGATTCCTTCGTCAGAAAGTCGACCCTTGGGATCTAGTATCAACTCCCTATAGGCCATGTATAGACCAATTATAGTGCCAGAAACTCTCCATCCAGCAGACAAAAGTATCCGCTTATCTCTCCTTGAGGACTAGAGCATATACAGCTTCCCTTCTTCATCTCCTCTGCCTTTTCCACACAATATGTCTTCATCTTGAGCTCAAGTATTTTTTCTGGCGATGCCTCACTTGGTCAGCACACATTGCATCGAGCCTCATTTCCTTCGCAATGTCCTTGATGTTCTGATTATTGGGACAGGGACAGCTGGTCTCTCTGCGGCCTTGGCCCTTGGCCGTGCGCAAAGGAGTGCCATCGTTTTCGATGGCGCCGAGCACAGGAATAACCTTCATGGGATTGCAAGTCAGGCAATCTCAAAATCGATCCAGGACGAGACGATAGCTGAGATCAAAGCCAAGTTCAAGACCATCATGCTTAGCCTCGCGACAGCCGCGTCTATTCGTGAGAAAGGCATGACTTTCGAAGTCGAAGACGTTACAGGTCGACGTTGGAAGGGAAGAAAGGTGATATTGGCTATGAGCAGCCGTGATGTTCTTCCAGATATCCCAGGATATGAAGAAGCTTGGGGGAAGCATATGTAAGCCCTCTTTTGACTACGATACATCGAATCCTGACTCGTTGGACAGTTTCGATGTATCACAATGCCTCGATGTTAGTAACAAAGCGACTTCCCGCGCTGCTGTGCTCATCACATCCGACTCTTCAAGTTCTATTGAGGCGGCGGTGTTGTCAGCTCATCTCGCCCACCAGTTCAGTCCCGATATAACATTCCTGACTAACGGCCTTTTTCATGTCGAGCATCATCCTCAAATCATAGCGACCAAGAATTGTGGCTTCAAATTAGACAACAGACCCATCAGATCATTGCAACATCTGGAAACCTCGGTGGCTATCCAGTTCGCTGATGGGGCAGAATCAGTGTATGGCTTGATATCGCATAAGCCCAGAAAGGTTCTTGGCGGGCCTTTTTCAGAACAATTAGATCTGGAGATGACATCTGAAGGGAGGATTTTGGTGGGAAATGAGTTCCAAGAGACAAGCACACGCGGTGTTTACGCAGTTGGTGACAGTGCCAGCTTTCTCAAAGAAGGGAGTGCTGGAGCCAGCGCTGGATGGCTGGCTGGGGTTGGTGCAAACTTGCAAATTGCGGAGGATGATATGAGTACGTAGTTTACATTTGTTCCGAATATAGGATGGAAATAATTAAAGAAGTCGCCGATTCTTCCAAGTGGTGCATGATGACCCTTGTTGATTGCGGTTTGACACAACGATCCCTGTCATCGGGGACTAGATTCTGGTCGCCGACCATATGTATACAACATACCTTGTATCATAGCCGAGGTCAAATATTGGTATGGTTCTGCTTCTTGAAGTATTAGACACCGACATGCATGTTTGATGGACAGAAATGCTAGATCAAGCAATTGGTAGGTACTGCGTTTGGTTGATGGCAGTTTAGGGTAATTCGGCAACCAAGGGCGTTGCATTGTATCATGCTACCCTTCCGCTGTGTGTAGAATAGACTTGAGACTTTCGGGAAGATTAGCTATTATCAGTTAGTTTCTGATAAGTTTAGGCTACATCACCTATTGACATACCAGTCATTTCATGGGAGCTTCGTCACCTAAATTTTGTCTCAAGCTATGAAGCTCGCATCACGATTAAGTTCTGGTGTCTCGGGAGGCAGAAGCAGGACCCGTTTCGATATTCATTGGCGTAACATGTCTATGATAGTCGAAGCCCATATAATTCCCAATCATGCTATCATTCTTCAACTGTTTCAGCTTCATGACCGGAAGTCGCCGTTCCAAAGAGCGGAGTTGGGCCATCGGGCTCTAATTTCGGACCATCGGCGGCAATCACTTTATCCCTGAATCACGCAATTGAGACTTATCCTCGGCTGGTTAGTTCCCGCCCCGGATAAACCATAGCCCGCCCTTTTCACACCCCAGAAGAGCAAAGCGCTATACGCTAGTGGGTACGTACAGTACGTCACTCCAATTGTACTTTTTCTGGCGTGTTCACTCTTCAGCTTGAGCTTTTTCTCGCATTCGACTTCACTCTCCCTTTTGAAGGAAAACACAAAAACTCAAAATGCTTTCAAGTCGCGTGACACTGGCAGTTCGATCTGCGGCCTTTGGCCAGTCTCGAAGGGGTCTCGCTACCGCTGCGGCCGTGACATCTGCGAGCCGAAGTCACAAGGTCGTCGTTATTGGAGGAGGCTCTGCTGGTCTCGCGATCAGCCATCAACTTCTCCGGAGCGGCCGATTCGCCAGTGAGGATATCGCTGTTGTCGATCCCGCTCAGTGGCACCACTATCAGCCTGGATGGACACTCGTCGGTGCCGGGCTTAAGACGAAGGAGGAGTTGAAGATGTCTATGCCTGAGCTCATCGACCCCAAGCTCAAGTTCTACAACGTTAGCGTTGATGCCCTCACTCCTGAGGACAACAGCATCACTCTTGGAACTGGCGACAAGGTCAACTATGAGCACCTCGTTGTTGCACCCGGCATCAAGATCAACTACGACAGCATCAAGGGCCTTCCCGAAGCTCTCGCTGAGCGCAACGGTCCTGTCTCTTCCATCTACGGCTACGACTACTGCGATAAGGTCTTCCCCAACATCCAGCGCCTCCAGAAGGGTAACGCCATCTTCACCCAACCCGCCGGCGTCATCAAGTGCGCCGGTGCTCCCCAGAAGTCCATGTGGCTTGCCCTCGACCACTGGAAGCAGACTGGTCTCTATGACCCCAAGAACCCCTCCGCCTCTCCTATCAAGATCACCTTCGCCACCGGCCTTCCCGTCATGTTTGGTGTCCCCAAGTACAGCGCCGAGCTCGAGAAGATGCGACAAGAGCGTGGTGTTGAGGGTCTTTTCCAGCATGATCTTGTTGCTATTGAGGGCAACAACGCTGTCTTTGCCCATGGCCAGGACAAGGTTACCAAGCCGTTTGAATTCCTGCACGTCGTTCCCAAGATGGGACCTCATGCTTTCGTCAAGAAGAGCGCTCTCGCCAACGAGGCTGGCTACGTTGATGTCAACGACAACACGCTCCGCCACAACAAGTTCGCCAACGTCTGGTCTGCTGGTGATGCTTCAAGCCTTCCTACCTCCAAGACCGCCGCAGCCGTCACCTCCGAGGCGCCCGTTCTTGTCAGTAACCTACTGCGCGCCATCGATGGCCAAGAGCCCGAGCCAGCCTATGATGGCTACACCTCATGCCCTCTCCTCACAGAATACGGCAAGGTGATGCTTGCTGAGTTTAAGTACGGTGGCGTTCCCAAGGAGACTTTCGGAGAGATTCTCGGCATTGACCAAGCCGTTCCCCGCCGCTCATTCTACCACCTGAAGAAGGACTTCTTCCCCTGGGTTTACAAGAACTACATGGTCAAGGGAACATGGGGAGGACCTAAGGGCTGGATTAAATAGATAAAAGTTTTGGACTTGCCGTGTATGTTAGACTTGTACCATCGGGGAGATTGTATACCCACGGAGAGACTGGAATAAAAGTTGCAAAATAATGACCCCAAGGACGCATGGCTTTGCCGCCGTGATGCCGGTTTATCTGCTTTTTGGCTAATCAACAGAGGCGGTGGCTGATAGCTCTCGGCCAAATCGGAGAGAAGCTCAACTTTCGAGATAGGGCGACATTCTCATTTGGGAACACTCATCCGTATTCCCAACGGTGCGCACTCGATATAAACTCCCTCCTCTCCAGCATAAACAAACATTTAGGCTGCCGTTGTACACAGTATTCTCCTGGCTCCCAGTCGCCCAGCTTCCCCAAACCGTGGATGCCTTACAACCACTCACTACACGATGCCGCAAGTCTCAAATCCTCCCCATGGACCGGAAGGTCAGGTTTCTACCTCGACGGCAAAGCGGTCAAAATCCTCCACGAAATCGAATGCTTGAACCACAATATCTGCCTCACCAGACGTCAACAAGACGTCAACACACGCGTCTCGGAAAAAATACACTTCTACAGGATGAAAGCCAAACTCGGCTGGTTCGGGCAGCTACGTCGCCGATTAAATGAGCAGCTAGACTACCAGAAACTACGCGAGCGCCAGATTGACCAGATACGCACCAAATTCCTAATAATTCAGATTCTATTGGATAGGGAGGTGATAGCAAGAAGAGAGGCGAGGCTGGCGCAGCTTCAGACAGATTTTGAAGCGAGGATTCAGTAGAAGAGCAAGAAGGATGAGCAGGATCACCGGGATTGGCTTGGCGATGTGAAGAGACGGAGAGATGTGAAGAATAGTTGGAAGATGGAGCAGAAAAAGAGGGACAAGGAAAGGTGGGAGGGGAAGTGGCAGGAGCTTTATTGAGCAAGGGAGTGAAGACAAAGGTTTCGAGGGGACATCCCGAGTTATGGGGCTCTTTGCTTCTATATCGGAATCTTCATGGTTGCAGCTTTGGTGGTTTGCATGCTTTGGACGAATTGTTGCTTTTGGAGATTGTTTGATGTTTGTCGACAGACACGGGAAGCATGACATCCCGACGAGATTTTGGAGATTTGATATGGTACGTCTGGGAAACAACTAATTGCTTGGATTTAATATTTTTCCATTCTTGAATTTTTCTTGTTTTTATATTTTATTTCTTTAGTTTTCTTCGCCTCATTTTGCATGGCCATCTTTGGCATTTGATTCTATCAACAGTGGCATATATGGTTTGGGGGAACACATTCATTAGCGATATTCATTACGGCATCAAAGGACGATGAGAAATCTCGTTATCCCTTATACTCTCATGCGAGTAGGATATATCGCCGATACTACTTCTACGATAACGGCTCAAGCCTGGGGTTTGTTTGAGTTGGCTTCATAATGTTTAATATCTTATATCAGTATTAGATCGCACAAATCACGAACCCTTTTATCACTTGAGTTCCTCACAACGAGTCGCCACTCTACGTGCTGAAGCTCAGCACGACACGAACAGAAATCTCTCTGATACCGAAAAGACGCCTGTTCGTCGCCACTTGATTCCCTTGCACATATGGCATCACGTTGGCATACTAACACGTGGCGAGTTCTCCCTCTTCAACCCTCCACTTGGCCAATGATATAAAGAGGAGGCCAGAGGTAAATGGAGTGTTTCATACCTTGTTGGATAAACCTTATAAGACCTGAGCGAAATACATCAAACACTGTGGCCAAGAATAAGTCTGCTAGAGGAGGAATCGTAATCTTTAAGGTTAGACTTTAGGCAGGTCACACAGGCAATAGGAACACGGTAACAGCCAAATATGATAGGCTTTCACACTCTGCGCAGTGAGGGGCACGCGTAGCTCAAACGGAATAACAAACTTTGGGTAGGGCTTGTAGAAGAAACACAAACTCGTTCGACTTCTTTAAGAACCTGAAAAGCCCAAAAAGCTCACTGCTTTCCCTCACTACTAAATATTTCCTGAGGTTTCAGAATCATTTACTCAATATGGATTTTATTGACTACTATAAAATCTTGCAGTTGACTCCAACAGCAAATACAGATGAGATCAAGACGGCTTATCGACAACTGGCCAAGACGACACACCCAGATAAGAATCGCGAGGATAAACAAGCCACTTCCAATTTTCAAAGGGTTAGTGACTTTTCAATTACCCAGTGTGTATACTAACTAGCTGGAAGCTCAACGACGCATACTCTACACTATCAGACACGGAAAAGCGTCGAGTTTACGATTTGGAGTACGAACGGCAAAGAAGATTAAATCAGCCTCGTTTTTATACTATAGGGAGAACAAGCGAACCCACGAATAAGAATGCTGCACCCTTTCCCTGGTTCAGTGCAACGTTCTACGCGGAACCTCCCCCATTCAACCCCGAACCAATGCGATTATTCGTTAAAATACGGGAATCGGAGGATTTCATTCGGCAGTTCAAATCTTGCGTATCAAGCACCGGCAAAGAAGTGAGACGCCAAAAGCGAACGATACAAAAGAAAGAAGAAGCTGTACGAGCTCTCAAAGAAGATATCTTGAAACACGAGACCGAAAAGACGAGGAAATATGCTCACGGGGGTGGACCGTCAAATTTAAACCGTATTAAAGAAAGCTCTCAGATTCAGGCGAAAACGGGACGTAAGGCTGAAATGGAAGCTGAGCTAAAGGAGGAAGAAGAAAAGCTGGTAAGCCTCGAAAGGCAGCTTCTGGATTTTAGCCGTCGACTCTCATATTGGGAAAAGGAGAGGGATGCTTTGGGTCCCAAATTTGAGATTGCATGCGAATCTGATCCACTGAGTTCCGAAAGGTGGCCGTTCAATACCGTGCGGCGTAGAACGAAAAAGAAGAAACAAGCTTCTCCGGATGTACAGCCTGGTACGAGAGAGGAGTTCGAAGAAGCGGAGAGGCGTCGTCGAGAAAGAAAAGGGGAGAGTAGCCAAGAAGCACATACAAGCTTCCAGGGAGAGAGTGCAGCACAAAGTAGCAACACGGTGTCGGGAAAGTAGAAGTGCCTAGGGGCTCTGGAAAGACGTGCTCTGATGTGGGATGCGGGATCGAGCTCAAGGCTCTGGAACTCTAGACGCATTCGAAGCTGCTAAGCGGAAAGAGATGGTGTGATAGATCAATACTAGTGGTTCTGATGTATGCGGACGCGTCGTACCACCTGGGTAATAGCTAGAGCCAAATTTGTGTATCAGGAACCTCAGGATTTTATTTAACTCCAGATTATATGCAGAAAGTCTCGATCAATAAAATATGTACATAAAACACCCCGTTTCCCTTCAATGCCTATGCAAGAGAAACTTTGGCCCCGGCAAGCTCTTAGGCCCAAGGAAGGGAGAGTTGTCAAGGAACGCGTATCTCATAGTAACTACAAGAGAACACCCACGGCAATGAAGACCATTGTGAGGGACCCCAGAATACCACGTTCGTAGCGCCCAGCTTCCGCAACTACAACTTCCGGCACTGTGGAGCCATTACCGCTGGCTCCAGAAGAAGACTGTGAAGGCACCGCATGGGGCTGTGCGTGCCCAGGATATGTATTCTTCCCTTCACTCGGTTGATGCTGGTTGGGGG